CTCTCTCTCTCTCTCTCTCTCTCTCCATCCCCCACTCCCATTACTTTTAAACAGGCTTCGCTTGGTAATATTATCAGGAAGATTCAGTAGTAAGCTTCACTATTTGCTTCTCCAAACAATGAAGTTACAATGGTCTTAATCCAAGAAATCTATTTTCTAGTGTCAGGGTTACTTATTTATTTATTAGTAATATATGGTCAGTTTTACCTTGGAGGTTCTGTGGAGATTGATAAATTCCTTATAATTTTTCTCGGACACATCTGAGAAGGCAAGCCGGACTATATCTGATGAAGGAAAGACAAAAAAGTCCAGTATTGGTAGAATCATTCATCATCTTTACAGAGTGCGAAAAATAAGAGGATAAAATGACAAGGGAAAAAAGTGTCCCGACTCCTTCTCCTCTTTTCACTAAAGAAGGAAAGTGTGCTTTTCTGCTCAAGAACTCCCTAGAAGAATTTTAAAATCTAAATGTCCACTGGCATATTTAGTTGACATTTAAAGTTTTCATCCTAAATATAAATAGTTGCAAAGAATGTGATTTCTAGTAAGTTATAAATATATCAATATTTTATAGGAAAACATCGGTCTTTTAAATATATCAATGGAGTCTAAACGTGCATGTTATCTATTTGAAAAGAAATCCATGAACAAGCTCTTATTTCAATCAGAAAATTTCCATGACGTCTTTTTAGTTTTGAAACCTATATTTCTATTTGACTTCCTCGCAGAATTTTACCCTAATATGATGTACACCATCCTTATGCTTGAAAATCTTCTATTGACCCCCATATCATCTTTCGGAAACAGAAGTTTATATATACATACTTTTTTAAAAAAAATTATTTCTATGACTGTAAGGCTCTAACTGCTACACATTTTCTTCAGGGGTGGATTAAGAATGCACAATTAATCAACACAACACAATGACAAATTTTGGTATATATAAAAAGCTAAACTTTTAGTAGAAACACATCTCTCAATGAGCTGTTATGAGTGCCGTTCACCCCCCTCCCCAGCTCTACATGAATGATTATTACTTATTGCTGAAATGAGACGGCTGGAGCCCGAGTGCAAATGGGGTCAGCCAGGGAGCACGTGAGAAAAGAGATTTGACAACGCCCCAGAAACCAAGGGGCGGAGCGTGAAGGAGGGGGCTCAGGGCTGCGAGACATTGCATTTCTCCTCCACGGTCCGCTGCCAGCTTCCTACCTACACACAACAACGCTTATGCCACCTGCAGAATGCGCCCAACACTGCCGTGATGTAGTTACTTAGTCGTCAAACTTATTTCTCAGAGAGTTCAAATAAACAGAGTATTCTGAGCCGGAAGTGATCCTAGCAGTGGAGCAGAGCAGAGGTGTGGTGTCACCATTATATATTTGCTCTTTGTCCCTGGTTCCTGACACACAGCTCCTAGATCCCTTACAATTTCCTGAGTGATAACCAGGACTGTCTCTTGTTCTCATGAGGGGACTCTTGGTGGCCCTGGGTAGCTCACGGGTAGGCGCCGGTTGTCAGGAAGACCAAGCCTTGACAGAAGTCTGGAACTTGCAGCCCATCCTCCCACCATCCTCCAGAGAGGCGACGAGGAAGAGAGATGGAGGCTGAGCTAATAGCTGATTATGCCTCCTTGATAATTGATTACACCTCCATAAAACCCCTCAACGACAGGGCTCAGAGAGCTTCCAGGTGGGTGAACACAAATACGTGCGGAGAGGGTGGTGGCCCCCAAGTCCATGGGACCTGCACTTGACCCCACCCCCCAACCCCCCCAAGACCTTGTCCTAAGTATCTCTTTCATTTGTATCCTTCACAGTATCTTTATAATAAACTGGCAAAGGTGAGTCATTCCTTTATAATAAACCAGTAAAGGTAAATAAACTGTGTTCCCAAGTGCTGTGAGCTGTTCTAGCAAATTGTCGACCCTGAGGAGAGAGTCGTAGGAACTGTTTACCGACAGCTGGTCATAAGGACAGGGGACACGGGACTTGTGACTGCCATCCAATGTGCGGCAGTCTTGTTGGGACTGAGCCCGTAAGCTGTAGGGTCGGTGCCAACTTGGGGGAGTTGGTGTCAGAGCAGAGCTGAATTATTGAGCTCCCAGCTGATATCTGGAAATCCAGAGAACCAGTTGGGCTGTCGGTGTTGGAAAGCCCCAGTGGGGGGGCTCTGAAGTTAAGCACTGGCTTTGTTTCACCCCTCTCCCTGCCCTACATATAAAATGCCTACATGCAACCCCACCAACTCACCAGTTACTATGTGCAGCATGTCCACAGCGGGCTCTTCCAGGATTTTGACTTGCTGTTTTATGATGTTCTCGAACGTCTTATAGTTCACGAATCCTGGCAGCTCTCTGCCACGATACTGGTTTTCAAATTTCCAGATCTGCCTACAGATAGTTTCATAACCTACCAGAGGCAAGCGCTGTGTGTTATTTTACGAAAATCACCTCGCAGGTTTTTCTAAACACAATACTGTTCTCGACTTTCTGAAAGCACAGAGCAGCAAGGAAAAACATCAAATCTGATTTGCAAATCAAAACATATTCAGGGCTTAGAATGACAAAACAGATCTCAAGACACTTTTCCTTGGTCATCTCGAGGTGGCAAGTATGAAACCAGGAAGCAGTAAATGCAGACATATCCTTAAAAAGGTACTTGGAGGCCGGCCGAGTGGCTCAGTAGGTTAAGAGTGCAAGCTCTGAGCAACAGCGTTGCCGGTTCGATTCCCACATGGGCGAGTGAGCTGCACCCAAGCTGAACGGCCTCGAGCTGCCAATGGGTGGCCAGATGGTGAGCTGAGTTAGCTGCGCCCTCTACAACTAAGACTGAAGGACAACAACTTGGCTGTTCCCCTTCCCCAATTCCCCAATAAAATCTTAAAAAAAAAAAACGTACTTGAGTATACAATTTTGTAAATCCAATTTGATTTTGACCAAAGGAATTGTATCAGAATAGACTATTATGACGTGTAGTCCCTTTAAAAAGTAGGAATGACCAAGGACACCACCCGGAATCAGCTACACATCAGAGTCGTGTGCTGTAGCATGAGCAGAAAGTGCTTATAGATCAAACGGGATAATAGAGCAACGGGGCACATAAGTTCCTATCAGTGGGACATGGTATCCCTGTTTACTATATAAAGACCACTTGGGTTTTGCTTTATACTTTTTACTCTCAACACACTAGACTGCTGACAAACACCCTCATTGCAGGGGCAAGCCATAAAACAGAAGGGCTCTGGTTCGTCTTTCTGATAACGAACCAGGGATGTGTACTATAAAATTCACCGCATTACAATATGCCGCTCAGTGATTTTCGGTACGTTCATCAAGTCGTGCAACCATCACCACTATCTAATCCTCAAACATCGCCATTGTCCCAGGGAACCCAGTACCCATCAGCGGTCACTCCCCCATGCCTCCCCGCTCTCCCCGCTCAACCCTGGAAACCACTAATCTACTTCCTGTCTCTGTGGATTTGCCTGTTCTGGACGTTTCACACAACATGTGACTTTCTGTGTCTCAGTTTTCACTTAGCATGCCTTCAAGCTTCGTCCGAGTTGTGGTATGTGTCGGTACTTCATGCCTTGGTACAGCTGACTAATACTCCATTTAGGGCGTTACAGACGGAATTGTGTCTCTCCAGAGTTCACACGTTGAAGTCCTAACCCCTAATACCTCCGAATGTGAGTGTGTTTGGAGGGAGGGCCTTTGAAGAGGTGACTAAGCTGNAGGGAGGGCTCCAAACGTGTCCGCACGTCCTAATCATGGCACCTGAGAACATGTTACCTCTCACTGCAAAGGGCAGCTGAGGGTGCAGGAGGCTGCTGATGAGCTGACGCTGAGATAGGGACACTGTCCTGGATTACCTGGTGGGCCCACACGAAGGAGCCAGGAGGACAGGAGAGTCAGAGGGAGCTGTGGCTTCAGAGGTGGGAGAGGTGCAACCAGGCGGGCTGTGAAGGTGGAGGAGGGGCCACGGGCCAGGGAACGCGCCTCCAGAATGGACAAGGCAGGGAGACAGACTCACCCCTAGGGCCGCAAGAAGGAACACAGCCCTGCCGAAAGCTTGATTTGAGCCAGTGAGGATCAGCTTGGTGGGGAAAAGGGGCATTCTCATCAGAGTCGCAGACAAGACAGGCCTGCCTGTTAGCTTCACTGTGGTTTCGAGTCTCACTAAAGGGACCAGACGAGGCAAGAAAAGGGAGTCTGAGGTACAAGACGGCACAGGGGAGGGAAGTGGAAAGCTACCACTGTCAGCAGAGGGATGAGTGGCCACTGGGAAAACTCGGGAACTTCTGCAGACAATAAGGGAATCAGGATGAATATGGGGTATAAAATACTCTACAGAGAGCACATTGACCAACAGAAAACAGAAAATATAATGGGGAAAAAGACTCATTTACAATAGCGACAAAGATGAGAAAATACGTGGGAATTAGCTGTACAAATGAACACAATCTACAGAAAGAGAACTTTAAAACCCTTCTGAGGCCCCCAGAAGGAGATCGTAGAAATGGCGAGACTGGTTGTCACTTGGAGGGGTAAAAAGTATAACTACTGCATTGTGTTTTACAGCTGAAACTGATTCTAAAAAATGTGTATTTCACAATAAGAAATAATAATAATAATAATATAAAAAAAAAGAAATGGCAAGACCCACGATTTACACGGAAAGTCTAGAAGATTTACTGTCCGAAAGATGTCGACTGTCCCTCTGCAGACCTATAAAGTGAATGTAATTCCAGGAAGAATACGAGCACTTCTATTTTTTTCAGAAGGAACGGGATAAGCTAATTCTAAAATTTATATTGAAGTTGGGACAAATAAGAACAGGCAGAAAATCTCTGCATAAAATGAGGTGGGAGCACAGATGGCGGCACACCCATGTTCACAGCAGCCCAAGGTAAGACCAAAAGTGGCCCGTACATCCCACGGGCTGTTATTCCACTTCAGAAAGGAAGGACATTGTGACACATGCGACACCAAGGATGAACCCTGAGACTATTACGCTAAGTGAAATACGCCAGACTCAAAAGGACAAATATTCTATGAAGCTACTTATATGAGCTACAGAGTAGGCAAAGTCATAGAGGCAGGAAGTAGTCGTGGGAGGGGGCAGAGCGGGGGGTCCGTGGTGAACGGCAGCCGAGTCTCAGTTTGGGAAGATGAAGACGTTTTTGAGGTGATGGTGGTACAACAATGTGGAGGTGCTTAATGCCACTGAACTGTACACTTAAAAATGGTTCAAATGGTAAATTTTATGAGATGTATATTTTACCACAATATAAAAAAGAGAAAAGAAGTGTGTGGTGTGTGTGTGTGTGTGTGGGGGGTTGGTTTTTAGGAGGGTGCTAGCTGCACCAGATATTTAAACATTGTATAAAGATCTACTAATGTAATCATGTTGATACTGATACCAGAACAGCAAACCCATAGAACAGAATTCAGGATCTAGAAAAAGGCCAACATATATAGGGGGAGAGAATGTGTGCAAAGGGCTTCCCGCACACCAGTGGGGACAAAGGGTCTTCAGTGATGGTATTGGGACAACTATCAGCCACCCAGAGCAAGCTTCATTCTTGATATCAAATAAAAGTTGAAATAAGTTACTTGAAGAAAATACTGTAGACTTTGTTTATAAATCTCAATGAGACAACGTCCTTTTCCAGTACGACAGAAAGCAAAGAAGCCCCCCAAGGAAACGACTCTGAAAGCCAACCCACCAGTCTAGAAAAGGGTCTAAAACCACCATAAACAAAGCCACAAGGCAAATGACAAACTTCAGAGTATTTGCATCACAGATCTCTAAGGGTGAAGAGCTTGCAGTAGAAAGAGCTCGGACTGGACATACAGTTTACTGAACAGGAAATAGAAATAACTCTTACACTATAAAAAGATGCCCATCTCCTGGGAATAAGATACAATGCAAATTAAAACTACAATGGGATGCCATTTCTCACCTATCAGACTGTTAAAAAAACAACAACAACTTTAGTGCAGACTAAATTGTCAAATGTGGGAAGAAATAAGCCTCCTATGGGTAATATAATTTTAAAAATAGATATAAAACAAGCCTTATTCTGGCCCCAGTGTGACAGTCACATTCATGTGCCAACGTGGCCAGGAAACTGTACCCAGTTATTCATTCAGACATTAACCGAGGTGTTGCTGTGAGGTAATCTGTCGATGTGGTGAACATATTCAATCAGATAACTAAGTAAAACCTTTACTTAGTGCGTGGGCCTCATCCAATCAATTGAAGGCCTTAAGTGCGAAATAGAAAGAAATCCTGCCTGCAGACAGCAGCTTCAGCTCCTGCCCAAGAACCTCCAGCTTGCCTTTCCTGAGGGCCTTCCTACAGATTTTGGACTTGACCAGCCAGTCCCACAAACCATTAGCCAGTTCCTTGAAATACATTTCCTTATATACCTGAGGTGTGATAAAAAAAAATACAGTGAGGGGCCGGCCGAGTGGCGCGATGGTTAAGAACTCGCTTGGGATGCCAGAGGGCCCCGGTTCGGATCCCACATATGAGGGCCAGTGACACTGCCCT